AAACAGAAAATCACTATTTCTCTTGATTACAAGATAGTAGCTATAAGACTTCTTCATAAAATGAAAACAATTATTTGAATAGAAAAAGTTTTAAAGTTAAAGAGCACAATGAATTGCAAAGAAAAGTAAACTTATTTAAAAAAAATGCATACCTGAAGATAAGTTTTGCAATTAGCTAATCAGACTATCTGTTATTGTTATTGGTAAAGTGATATTCTTTTCTTGATCGCTTAGTTTAAGATGAATTATTTGTAGTAAGTATTCCCTTAGGTCAGAGTTAGTTTGAATTGTGACTGTGTATTTTGGGATGCTTACCACACATCTGTGTACAGCTGAAAACATCAGAGTGATTTGTGTTTTCATAATAACCTTTGTTTATCATTGTTTAGAACCTAGTTTTAATGATCTGTGTGTTGTGTGTAGATTATTACAGATGTATCAATGTTGGCCTCATCCAGAGAATCATATCTGTGAATCAAGAAATGGATGTTAGTTCTTTTTTTTTTTTTTTTTTTTTTTGGCTTACGTGAAAATATCTAAATATTTCCAATTAAAAATGTCATCCATCTAAAATCATCTCTAATGGTAGAAATACTGATCCTTGGGAACCACTGATAGACCCTGTGGGTACAAGTCAGAGAACATATTAATCTCTTTGTCTACTGTACTCAGAAGGATCCCTAACACACAATAAAGTTATTAAATTTGTGGCCGAAGGGAATTCCAGGTATAGATGTTGTTCCCCAAGGTCTGTGTTGTCAGCCAGAATTAGGTTTGTTTTTATTGCCAGCACCCATATGATGTCAGCCATCATGACTTGTTGAGTCTCCACAAACATCATTTGTTCCATCCCTCCAACTCCACTACAATCATCTTCGTGTGAACAGACCTTTAATTCTCTCTTACACTAAGTGCTACCATATTCTCCCAACAGAATGCCTGCCAAGATTCTCCTTCTTCCCCCCTATTCCCACATTGATCTGTGAAACTACAAAATTGATAGTATCACTTCCCTACTTTTGTTCAAGCAATGTCTTCCTAATTGCCTATGGAAAAACTCCTTTCCTAGTTCTTTTGGTCTCTTAGACCCGTTAGCATCTGGCTCCTGCTTGCGTCTTCAACTGCATCTGGTCTATCCTTGCCCTTCCCCACTACCTTGTAACCAGTTACAACTGAGCTCCCCACTGAACCTTACTATTACCTGCCTTTGTGTCTTGGCAGGTGTTTATTCCTCTGCTGGATACCTTTCCCTCTCTCACCTCTACATGCAAAAATCATATTTGCCTTTCAAAATCTATTCCAGATGTTGTCACCTCCTTCTTCCTTTTTTTTTTCTTAACCCTTGACACATAGATGTCTCTTGAATAAATCATTTAAGTATTCAATTAATACACCAGTGTTGTTGATGTTTTTCTTGTTTTCTTCTTCTTTGGGTTCTGTTCCTTATCACCTTAGCCTCGGTACAACTGGGCGTATTCAATTTCAAGTCTCAAGGCTGATGATCAGTGGATGTTTCCTGTCCTAGTTTTGTCTTTATAGACATATAGCATTTATTAGGATGGCTTGGAGAACTTTCAACCACGTAGCTGGAAAATTCATTTTGAATTCTGATATGCTGCATTTGAAAAGTGCGACCAGCCAAATGTTGTCTTGCTGGTGTCACAGTGAATTATTTCACTAATACTTACTCTGAATCTTTACTCCATTCAGAATGTTCATTGAATGAATCATCCCTTAGGAATGCAAAGGGAATGGTTTCAAACTTATTTTCTGATAACACTGTAAAAGCGTCTCCTTAATCCTTGAGTTTTTGCTTTTTACATGAAAACATCAGTCATATACAATATCGAATTTGATATCTACCCTTGTCAAGGCATTGGGCCAGTGAGTACAATCTACCATTTCGACTTGTCTGTGTCAGAGACCTTACCAGACAATGTCTCTGCTTGCAAAGATCTTACACATTAATAGTAAAAAAGGTGTACAATGTACCTTTGATGAGGATCATGAAGAAAGTGGATCAGGGAAATGAAAAGAGGCCCCACTTTTGTCTGAGAAATCAGGAAAAGCATGATACGTTTTCCTGTGAAAGTGGGCACTGAGCATATTTTGTGACATTCTTGTTTCATATTCACTTTTACATCATTTACAAACCTGTGATTAGTCATTCAGGAGCTAAATACGGTCTCAGGTAGTCAGCACAATGTAATATGGGAGGCATAGACTTTGGAATTAATCAGAGCTGGTTTGAATCCACATAATACTTCTTAACAAGTTGTTGCTTTTGATTTTTAATTGTGGTAAAAATACACATAACATGAAATTTCCATCTTGCCCATTTTTTTTAAAAGTAGGCTTCACGCCCTGCATGGAGTCCAATGCAGGGCTTGAAGTCACAACCCCAAGATCAAAACCTGAGCTGAGGTCAACAGTCAGACGCCTAAGGGACTGAGCCAGACAGGCACCCCTTACCCATTTTTAAAAGTATAGTTCGGTAGCATTAAGATTGGTGGTTGTGTAACGGATTCTAGAAGTCTTTCATCTTGCAAAACTGAAACTCTTTTCCCATGAGCCACCCTGGGGCCCCTCCACATGATGTCGTTCTTATCAGTGGTGATAAGAGAGATGACTTCAGGGTGGTTCACAAATATTTTTTTTTTTTTTACATTTAAAAATGCTTCATTTACTTTAGAGGGTACCATAAGAATGTAACGAGGATATTAAGCCAATTATTGTGTGAGTATTAGTGTTTGGGATGAGGCTAAATTAGATTTTTTTTAAGTCAAGTCCTCTTTTTAAAAATAGCAAAAGTTATGCAAGTGTACATGATTATCTGATGCTCAGGAAAAACTGATGTGATTCAGAATAAGGGTAATCAGACCCAGAACAAACCTTAATTTTGTCTTCTTTCCCCTGTTCCTGTTTCTTTTTTCTTTCTGTGTATTTAAGAAGTATTCAATTCAGGCTGAACTCATTCAACTCATCTATTTTTGCACTGATACAAGATATTTCTCAGTGTTATACTTGCAGTCATTTCTTCTTTGAGACTAGTATTGGAATAGATGATTCAATCCAAATTACTCAAGTTTCCTGTAATCTCCGGGCACACATCTTTTGGTAGAACCACTATGCTGCCTGTGTTATCTGAGTTGCATCAAATGAACCTGTCCTTTTATAGGACCGTCAGGACACAGGAAATCAGACTTTGAGAAAAGGTCCTAACAATTGTGCATTCATATCATTTGAATTGAGACAACAGAAATACATTAGTATTTCAACCGTAAGCAACTGCCATTATATATATTTTTTGTTATCAAAGCAATACAGCTTGAACTCTCTGAACTGACCTGAAGCCGTCACTAATGCCAGATCACAAATTGGAAAGGCAGTGTAGAATAGTGTTCAAGAGCGGACAATAAGCAAAAGAATCTGCAGGGAATACAATCTTGTTTGGTTTCATTAGTCACGTAATGTATCACGTGTGTAGTCACATAAATGTATCTGGAGAACTCTTCCCATCTGTAGGTTCAGCCGTCTTTCCCTCATGGCGTGAGTCAATGATGTTTAGAAATTTCTCTGCATAGCCAATATTTTATATAATTTTCCCATTACAGATTCAGTTAGCCAGATCACATTGTGTGGCTAAATCCACAAGTACGGCGTATTTCAGCACTGCTTTGGGCAACTGTGATGCTGTTGCCACATGGATAAAATTGTGTTTGTTTTGTGCTTGATGAGAAACTGAATTTTAATATTCTGTCTGTGTTGCAGTTGAACCCCTTTGCCCGGCATAGTTTACTAACTGGAGTTCATGAGAGGGAACTAAGCTATGAATCCAAGGTGTTAAACCTCAGGGAATTTCACTCATTATCTAAGGGAATTCTCATTAATGTTTTCGGGTCTTGCCTTATTTTTCTCAAAAATTGGTTTAAAACTTGAAAAACGAAGAGTAACGTGTATTCTCCCTGCTACATTTTTTCACGTGAATAGGTATTAACTTCATGGAAATAAATATAAGCAGCCCTTATCCTTGATTGCCTCCTATTTTGCCTGTGTCATCACACAAAGCTGGCTTAAAAATCATCCATACTTCATTTTGTGTGTCTTTACTCAGTTGGCAATTTCTCTTCGCCTCTGTCTATATGTCAGAATGGTCACACTGCCTGCCTTTCTTGGTGCATCAAGCAGCATCCCTCTCATGGTGGGTTAAGGAATTTCTTTGTCTCCACCATCAACATGTTTCCAGAAAAGGACCCACAGCAACCAGGGAAATATATCCTAAAAGATATGATGAATGTCATGAAATGAATTATCTCACAATTTAATTGAAGAGTGTTTTTAAAAGGACATTTAGTGGTGTGCCTGGGTGACTCAGCCTGTTAAGCGTCTGACTCTTGATCTTGGCTCAGGTCATGATCTCATGTTTCATGGGTTCAAGTCCTGAGTCAGGCTCTGTGTTGAAAGGGTGGAAACTGCTTGAGATTCTCTCTCTTCACTCTCTCTGTCCCTCCCCTGCTGCACACACACACACACTCTCTCTCTGCCTCTCTCTCAAGATAAATAAACATTAAAAAAAAATAAGAAAATAAAATAGGAACACCTCAGTGGCTCATTCGGTTAAGCATCCAACTTCAGCTCAGGTCATGAACTCACAGTTCGTGGGTTCGAGCCTTGCATCAGGCTCTGTGCTGACAGCTCGGGGCCTGGAGCCTGTTTTGGGTTCTGTGTCTCCCTCTCTCTCTCCCCCTTGCCTGCGCATTCTCCCCCCCCCCAAAAATAAACATTAAAAACAATAAATAAATAAATAAATAAATAAATAAATAAATAAATAAATGGATATTTAGCTACTCTTATTTTTTTCTGATTCCACCTATATGCTACATATTACCAAAGAGACTTTGCTGTACTTCTGTAAGCCTCCTGTAAGTGTCATTTATATGTTCTGTGTAAAATATCACTCATGTTCAAATCTGGTTTAATTTCTCATTTTGCATTTCAAGCTCCCAGTCAGCCACCAGGAAATGTTGTTTGGAATGCTACAGACACGAAAGTGTTACTTAATTGGGAACAAGTTAAAGCAATGGAAAATGAATCAGAAGTAACGGGATATAAAGTAAGATGTTTGCAATGCTTTCTTTTCCTATTCCTGGCAGAACTTTCCAAGGGAAGCTAGGCTCGAATGGTTTTTCTAACTATGATAATATGGTTGCTGTAATCTAATTTTGACATAGAGATACCAACTTCTTATGAAAAGGGTATCTTCCCCCCCCCCAAATATCTGATTTCTTAAATATAAATAAAAGGGAAGTAATTCTGGGTATTCAGGGATGTGGGATAAAACATAAATTGTTCATAATGTTAATTAATTTGTTACTTCTGACGAACCCCAATATACTACTTAAAAAGCAACTGAAAGTGTTGGCTCTAATTTGTTGGTCTGGTTTTCAAGATCAATAGAGTAGGGGCTTGCCCCATCTCTCCAACCGTACAAATGCCCAACCCAGATGAACTGTTCCACAGAAGAAGTTCACTTCCGTCTTCCTTACCTCCTTGATTTTGAGGACTTGATGATTTTAGTATGTGCTAACCCCCAGTCTAAGACCCATGGAAAGAGCTATGAATTTAATTTATATTCTGGCGAGTATAGAAAGACAATGTAAATGAAGTAACATCCGGGTAATCAGTTCTGTGAAAAATGGAAGAGTAGGCAATGTAAGAAATGAGTGTATTTGTTCATGCGTTTCAGGTTTTCTATAGGACTAGCAGTCAAAACAGTGTACAAGTGCTGAACACAAATAAGACTTCAGCAGAACTTTTGTTGCCCATTAAAGAGGACTACATTATTGAAGTCAAGGCCACAACAGACGGAGGAGATGGAACCAGTAGCGAACAGATCAGGATCCCAAGAATAACCAGTAAGTTGGTCAAAGTCAACCTTTACTTTATTGATAACACCAGTGTTACGAGCCTCCAAGAGTGAGTCAGTCAGTGCTCTTCTGTCCGTTTTCCCCCACCATCTCCTCCATCTAAATGCTAACAAGATTTTGGAATAGGAGAGATGAAGGCAAGAAAACTTTCTGAGGAGTGATACAAAACATGAAGAAAGGTAATAACAGAAAGAAAAGACATCAAAAATATTTAGCAGAACTCTATTAATTTGAATCTCTTCCTCATTATGAGAAATGCCTAAATTTGCTTTTGGATTGCCTATAAGAAACAATTTCTTAAGCATTTCTCAAGGACAATGTTAAAACCACAAACTAGTTTTAAGATCTTAGTTTGCCTCCTAGAAATTGTAGATGAATCTTACCAATTCTTCGAAAAGTGGGAAATCTAACATTGTTAAGGTCATAAACTGCTGACCGAACCAAAAGACACTTCAAAAACAAGTCTCAGTTTATGATTTCGAAGGAGGTTCGCACTAACTTTTCTTTTCCAAATCCAAAGTAAACCTATTTTACTGTAGAAATTACACTTTTAGAGTTAAGGGGAACAGACTTGCATACATATTTTATCAGTGACAGTGGTAAAAGAAATTTTATTTGTTCTTTCAATTTCCAAATCTGGAGTTTGGGGACCTCCATTTAAGTATGGTAGAAGCCATCTTGTCTCCATATCCTAATCTGTAGTTCTTAGTGACATTAAAAACCTTGTACCCTGTTTCCTTCCCTTGGGCGTGGCCTAGCCTGTAGTCTTGGAAATAAGATTAAAACCTCTCTCTTTAATGAGAGACATCATTAGGAAATAATGAGAAAGAGGGATATGGAAACTTGGAAGAATTTTATCTTTATGTGAAATCATAAAGAATGCCATACTTAGACTAAAGCAAATAATTAAACTATCCCATGAAAGCAGAAAGTGTTTATCTCAGAACTGAGTTCTGCAGCATAGGAATCTATAGGCTGCTTCAGGTTCTTGGTCTCCCTCTCTCTCTGTCCCTCCCCACTCTGACTCTTTGTGTGTCTCTCTAAATAAATAAGTAAACAAACAATAAAAAATTTTAAAAAAGACATGCTCGTATTCGTACATTACTGCAAGATGTAGAGTTAACATTATAATATGGCCAGAGTGTAACTGTTAAAAGGAGTAAGTTCTATGCTTTTGCAGAAACAGCCACTATTTTCACATTTTAGGGCTGCTGAGTCAAGAGTAGCCTTTTCATCTGACATATGCTGTCTGCTGAGCTTGCATAGACTAGTGTAGACAAGGCCATCTCTGGGAAAATGGAGCATTTATTGACTGCTTTTTTTAAAGATGGTGTTTTATATCACGCCTAATAATTTATCTAGAAATGAATAAAGTAGAAACCGACAGATTTTTCCAAACTCTCATCCAATGAAGCTTTCTTTAATTAAACCATTGAATTATCTCAAAAGAGTATAATTGTTTTCAAAGTGATTAAGTTGTTTTTGCAATTTCAATTAAAGTTAAATAATACTAGATGAGCACGGCCTAGATTCATTTATTTAAAAAACTTAAATACGTCGGTGCTTTCAGAGATATTCTCGGCAACTAATATAGGCAACACTGACAAATAAAATGAGGATTAATCATAACTCAGGGTTTTAGGTTGGGTTCGTGGTATGATTTGATTTTGATAGCAGAGGCATTACTTTTGCCCTGATGATTTATTTTGGTACAGTCCTTATTAATGAGCTGTTTATCATCTTTGACAGATGTGGACGCAAGAGGTTCTACTTCAGCCATCTCACATGTCCACGCTGTGTCCAGTTACCTACCTGTAGTATTGTTCTTCATTGTAAATGCCCTGTGGCGGTACTAACTTTTTTTTTTAAATTGTTTACTAGAAAGTTAATTGGTTACAAAAAAAGTGCTTTCATGAAATGCAGTGATTATGCATGGTTTTTTTTCAACTCTGTATTTTTAACTTTCTATAGGTAAAATATGAATATAATAAAAAAAAACAGTAAATCCTTTTAGGGGAATCTGAAATGCCTTAATATTTACTTGATACACCAAAGGAATTTACATATTAATTACATTAGACTTTTGATAAAGATATTCGTAAGCTATGATTTTGAGCACTGCCTTTCGATAGACTCACATGCTCTCATGTGTATACACACACATGCCCACACACGTTTGTTGTTTGTTTGTTTGTTTGTTTGTTTAATGTGGAAAAACTCATTTAATCCAAATGTTATCTCCCCGTTAGAACAGCATTGGTTGGAAGACTTGATCAGTACTATTCTGAAATGCTTATTTGAAATACTCAAGAGTGAAAATACATTTTAAAAATTACCTTGCTTGGAAGAGGGTGCATGTGACTCACAAGAATGTTGAAAAATGCTACACCAGAGGTGGAAACGGTGCTGTTTTGTTTACGTCTAACAAAGTTGTGAGATTCTTGCTCTCTCTAGTTCTCAATTTTTCATCTATAAAATGTGGAAATAATGCCCAGTGTACCTGCCTGTGCCCCATAAATTATTTGTTAAGAGATACAGAAGGACATGTGAAAGTGTTTTTGCTACCCCTCATATTTTGGGTCTGTGCAAAATATTAATAGGAATTTACCTAACTATATACAAGAAGAACCAGCCGCTTCTTTAAGTTTGCATTCCGTTATGGGTAACGCTTTCTTTTTTTGTTCACTGATATTTTAAAATTGAAATGTTCACATTTTATTATTTCTCAAATATTAAAAAAATATATTAGATAGTAATTGTTTCCTTCACATCTATGGACAAGCTTTCAGGTTTTATTAAAACACGGTGGAGAAAATAAGGAGTGACCTGAATCTCAACTCAAATATTAAACAAAATTCACACAATTCTTCATTTCCAATTTCTGATTCCATTAAGAGGCCCTCTCTTTTTTGGATGGTGGAGATGGTTTTTTAATGAAATCCAACCGTCTATCAGAGTGAGTCTGGCAGGCTTTTTAGTTCCTGAGTTAAATTTGTAATAGAACCATGGCAGTGCTGCTGACTTTGATATGTATGACTCAGTCTTTCAATATGTGGTTTTCAAAAGATTGGTGAAGACATGACTTCATAGCAATATGTAAAGAATATATGAAAATCGACAGATTGAGTGTTAGACATTGGAAAATCATTTTTTTACTTCTTTCCTACAATGTCACATTTTGCAGGAACTCGTTCTTCTTTACAGATATATCAGAATTTGACAACAGTTCAGATATCAAAAAAGAATAAAAATTAGCAAAATTCTGGTATCATCATGAAGTGTTACTTTATGTTTAAAGATTACATTTAAGATTAAAGTCATTATACACAAAGGAGAAAAAATATTTATAACTTTCTTTGCAAGGTCTGTATATACTGTATATATCTAGAAAAAATCTGAATGACTTAGTAGATTTCATATGACCATTGTTATTTCCAGTCAAAAAGTGGGGAAACGCTTTCTCCAATACCTGAATTTTACGCTACATGTAATGGAGTTGTACCTTTTTATTATTTAGTAATTCCTATAATATGTTCCTACACTTTCCATTTTCAAAATGATTATTGTTTCTTGGCATTTGTAGCAATATATCTCCATGAGATATGTACTTTGTTTCATATTGAAAAGTATAAGATTTATCTTTAAATTCTGTGTGTGTATCCTATGGTTATCTGTATGTATTATTTTCTATTATTCAAATAAAATTTATAACAATCGGTGGCCCCTGCATGATTAATTGTGATATGGTCAAAAAGAATATTTTAAGGGGGGAAATAGGAGGGCACCATAATAGTTATGCTGATATTTTTTCAGCCAAAATTTAGTCTTTCCATCTTTTAAGAGGACATTTTAAAAAATTATTTTTAGACACCACTGACTTAGTAAAATCTACAGTTTAAGGCAAGGTGCTTTCTGGGGCACCTGGATGGCTCAGTCAGTTAAGCTTCTGACTCTTGATTTCGGCTCAAGGTCATGATCTCAAGGTCCATGAGTTTGAGCCCCACGTTGGGCTCTGCACTGGCAGCTGAGAGCCTGCCTGGGATTCTGTCTCTCTTTCTCTCTCCCTCTCTCTCCCTCTCTGTCCCTCTCTGTCCCTTTCTTTCTCCCACCCATTCTCTCTCTCTCTCTCTCTCTCTCTCTCTCTCTCTCTCTCTCTTGCTCTCGCTCTTGCTCTCAGTCTCAAAATACATACACTTAAAAAAAAGGGGAGTTACCATGAAAGATACTTTAGATATGGAGAGAGAGGGAAGGAAGGAGTAGCAGAAAATTTACTTTACTTTAATTATGGTATCTAGTTTCTAATGACTTTATTTAGTTGATGGTGGCTATAACCCACATTTTTGACAACTATTTTCTTAAAATTAATAACAACTTATCAAGTCCTTCATAGACTTTCTCATTGGCATCAGTGTTTGAGACTTTCTCAATAATCCTTGTGGTGTAATGTATTCTAAATATTTTTTTAAATTACTAGAAAAGATTGTAATTAGCGAAGCATTTTGAAAATTATTGCTGATGTGAGGAAAATTCATTCCAAAGAAACAATTCAGTTATTTTCTTACATGAAAACTCAAAGACATATTTAGAGGCAGGACAATCAAGTGGGGAGAGTATGTGTAGGGCTTGTGCCAGGTGTGTGTGTGCATGTACCTGTGTGTGGGGAGGTGTGACTTTATTTTTTAAGCTTATTTATTTTTTGAGACAGTGGGGGGGAGGGGCAAAGAGAGAGAGAGGGAGAGACCTAAGCAGGCTCCACACTATCAGCACAGAGCCCAACTTGGGGCCCAAACCCACAAACCATGAGATCATGACCTGGGTTGAAACCAAGAGTCAGACACTTGACCGACTGAGCCACCCAGATGCCCTAGGAGGTGTGATTTTAAATTTACTACAGGTTTACCAGCTGCATTGGTGTACCCTTATGAAGGGAAAGAACTAGGGAATATGGAGAAACAGATTATGCCATTAAAATCAGTGCCTGTGTTCTCTCTCCTCAAGCCAGGGCTGTTTGGCAGAAGGTCAACTTTAACTCCTATTGCCTTAGTCTGAATTACACCTTCACCAATTAGTGGCCGTGTACCCTTGCTCCCAGTCAGTGAGCTCTCTAAGCCTTAGTTTCCCTATCTGCAGATTGGGGCCATGGTAGTCTTACTCTCCTAGAAATGTCAGATCTGCAGTGACTGCCACACCCTCTGTGCCGAATTTCATCTTTTGTGAATTGAGGTTATTGGTATTACCCACTTGAAAGGATGGGAGTTCATAAATAAAATGATGTGTATGAGTGCTTAGAGCCACGCTCTTACTATTATTCTCATCAGTATGTAAATATGTGACAATAGAAGACACAAGTAAAGATTTGAAGGTGGCTTTGTTTTAATATATTTACAGCTCTCCTTTGATCTCATGAAGAATGTATGTACACGCCACCAGAAGTTCCTAGAAGAGGGGGTAAAGTGAGTCTGGCATCAGATTTTTTTAATAGGAATATAACATTGCTAATGTCAAATAATAGATCTTCCCCGTCTTGGAGCCAGACCCTCAGTCACTTTATCACTACTAAATTGACCATCCTCGAAATCTTATTAGTTAGGTACTAATGTCAAGCCCATTTTACAGATAAGGAAACCAAGGATCAACAAGATTAAGTACATCATACAATGCCATTCTAGCAAGGGCAAGTAAAATAGGATTCTAACCCAGGCAAGCTGGCTGCAAACGCTGAGCTCGAAGGCATTAGATCCCTGGCAAAATCTGATGCATCCGAAGTAGAAGTTTTAGCATTTATAGTACCAACTTGCAGTATAGTTTGTTCTGCCTCTGTTATTGATCATAATTCGAATTGAGGAATGGAATACCTGGGAAGCTTTCCTTTGGTTATTGTCAATTTAATATTCGCTAATTCTTACGTGGAAAGCTATCTAAGATAAAACTGACCCAGCTTCAGAATTCTTCGAGTAAAAATTATAAATGCTTTTTTTTTTAAAGTTTATTTTTTTTTGCAGAGAGAGAGCACAAGTGGGGTAGGGGCAGAGAGAGATGGAGAGAGAATTCCAATCAGGCTCTGCACTGTCAGTGCAGAGCCCGATGTGGGGCTCAAACCCACAAACCGTGAGATCATGACCTGTGCCAAAACCAAGAGTTGGCCATTTAACTGAATGAGTCACCCAGGCGCCCATTCAAGTAAAAGTTATAAAAAAAAACATTTGTGTTAAAAATATTTTCTAGGCTTTATGTTTAATCTTCATCGTACATTTTCTTTAATCTTTGAAGATGGTTTGTGTTGGTTTTCAATAATTTTACCATTTCAATGAAAATGTAACAGTATAATTCAATAAAATAAAAAATGCAAAATGATGAGGAAGCTACAAGTTGCTTTTTTTTCCAATTAAAATCCCCCCTGCCGTTTCATGTTCTTACAATGCCATCTTTTTTTCATTTAAAATTAATCTTAATTGGGTTTATTTTTTTCTGAAGTATTGTACCCTCTGTAAAAATGAAAACTGTACTGCTATTCATCACAAGTTGGATACACTTCAGTAAATATTGGAGGTAAAATCAACCCACAGCAGCAATTACAAAATTAGCAATTAGTAAATTGTACCATTCTTCTGAAAGAAATTATATAAACAGATTGGAATATGGTTTATTTAAATGCTTAGGTTTTTCTGCTTTTGTTTTTATTTGAACACTGTGCCCTAATTTTGCATGTCTTGCTTTATATGTAGGTGATAATTACCTCTTGAACTTGCTCACAAAATAAATGCACTGATACAGAATTAAATATTTAAGAAAAGGTGCTTCCGTTGTTTGCTGGTTTTCATTCCTATTCTTTTTTTTCAAATTTTTAAAATTTCTTTTTAATGGTTTTTTATTCATTTTTGAGAGACAAAGTGCAAGCAGGGGAGGGGCAGAGAGAGAGAGACACAGAATCCAAAGCAGGCTCCAGGCTCTGAGCTGTCAGCACAGAGCCCGATGCGGACTCGAACCCATGAACCATGAGATCATGACCTGAGCTATAGTGGGATGCTTAACCTACTGAGCCACCCAGGCGCCCCCCCCTTTTTTTAAATTTTTTAATGTTTATTTTTGAGAGAGAGACAAAGAACCAGAGCTTGAGTGGGGGAGAGGCAGAGAGAGAGAGAGGGAGACACAGAATCTGAATTAGGCTCCAGGCTCTGAGCTGTCAGCACAGAACACAACACGAGACTCGAACCCAAGAACCCAGAGATCATGACCTGAGCCAAAGTGGGATGCTTAACTGACCGAGGCACCCAGGCGCCCCTTCATTCCTACTCTTTACTCTTACTCTGCCCATTGAAATTATCTTAGAGCCTGATGTTTCTACCTTGATGATTAGTACTGTGTGGAAGACAAAGAATTAGAAACTGTATAATTGGATGTTTCCTGGGAAAACTCAGGGAAAAACAAAACAGAGACAAAGATAAGAATGGCAAATTAGCAGATGCATTTTGGCATCAGTGACAAACACAAAGCTAATCTGAAACGTATATCTAGACTGGCTAATGAGGAAGCGAAAAGTCCATTCAATGTGATTGTTGTAGTGGTCTTTCCAAAACATCCAGATGAGAATGGCTGCCCTTCCAAGGCTAAATGTCGAGCTCACAAGTCAAAATGCTCATTGGGATCATAAAGTCTGTCACAGCAAAGGCCCTCGTTCATGGCTCATCTTTATCTGTTCAGTACATATTTGTTGAATTACATGAGTGGATTTTTCACCATTTCATCTTACTCTCTCCTGTTTGGCTTGCTTATTTTTCCCTCCTGTGCTGCCTCTGGAGATAATAGATATGATAATTAAGAGAATAAGAGGTATTATAAAATTTTATTTGAAGTAATATATAAGCAGTAGATCATTTATATTGGGAAAGTTGACCAAACTGGAAAAAAAGAAAAAAAAAGCAGTATAGCTGTGTGGTGAAGAGCATTTGTTCCCAGTCATAGACGTGGGTTGGACTCCTAGTTATATTTTAAATAACTGTGTGACCTTGGAGAAGCAATCAATCCCTCTAAGACATAAAGTTTCTGTAACACAGCACCAATGGAAAGACCTCACTTGGAGGAATATCCTGGGAGATGACCCCATGTAATTACAGAAAGCCTTTATCATAGTTTGGCTCATGGGTAATCAATAACAAAGTTTAATAGGCTATTATTATTATGCTTAAATGTCAAATCATTCATCAAAGAGTACTTTTCAAACATATATAATAACGCTACCTACCTCTAAGGTTGGTTCATGAATTCATCCATAGTTTCAGACACTGATCTTTGCGTACCAGGTATAAGATCCCTCTTCTCAGGGAGCTTATATGCAAGTACTAAAGCAAGAGAAGGGACTAAAGAGTAATTTGAGGATGAGTAAGATATTTTAGAATATATGCTCTAGTAATTGTTATAACTAAGATAATGTTTATCAAGTTTGTAACACAATACTGGGCACATGTAAGGAATTCAGCCTCTACCAGCCACAATCTGCATTCTCTCAAAATAAACCCAAATGGCAAAAAGCTCAGAATGTTGCCACAAGTCCACGCCAATAATAATATTCAGAGGATGTTACTCAGAAAGATGTTAAATCTCAGACTAAAAGCTTTACTTTTACTACCTTTAAGTAAACAAGGCCTGTTTGTGACCTCATATATGTTCCTCCTGAATCATAGCAATTAAGTTTAAACCAGAGTCACCTGACCTGTTCTGAC